ATAATATATATATAAAAAAGACTTTTGGCTGGCCTAGCCCTTCTCTGGGAGTGGGAACAGTCAAATCCTCCAGTACCATGAATCAGCCACATTAGCCCCCTGACAGAGCAGGGCCCATGGGTTGGTACAATCATGTTTCTAGTGTCCAGTCTTTTTGCATTTAAAATAGGAACTCTTTCCGCAATTGTCCTTGGGCTTTCCCCTAGAGCAGAGTTACTGAACATTTTAGATCATTTAATGATAACAAGTGGCTGTGGTGCATGGGCCATAGGTTTGGCACCACTGCCTTAGACAATTTGGGTGTGTTTAAAGCATTGTCAATTGCAACAGCTATAATTCTACTCCTCTCTTTCACCCTCACCTGGATCCCAAAAGGCTGTGTCCTGCAATTGGGTCATAGGTATCTGTGAACCATTTGAAGTTTTTGTAATTTATGCTGAATACTTGGGGCTGATTGACAAGTGAAATGTCCCTCCCTGGAAGATGGATCTATGTTTGTATATTTACAAAAGGCTTTACTAATTGCTTATGGAAGGCAGCTAAATTTCCTCTTGGTCCTGTGTGACCCCACTCACCTTATCATAATAAACAGATTTCTTTTTATTTACAGAAATTAATCCTTTTATTTTATAACATTTCTTTTCTTTTTTTAAGATGCATACAGTACTTGTAAGCTCAAGAATTCTGAGAAAAACTATAGAAGACCTGGCACTATTTTTGAGAATTACACAACTGGTCAGCAAAATAACACCTTTATAAATGTCAGGACATACAGAAATAAAATTTAATGTTTGCACACAAAAATATGAAAGTTACATTCAACATGTCTTTTAAATGTGCATTTAAATGTTTACTGTTTTCTAAAACTTTGGTCATCATGCTTTATTATTTCTTATTAAATTTCACAATTATGCAGACAATTAAACCCAAAAGGTAAGTAAATATATCACATTAACAAAGCAGCAATAGCAAGCTAATACTGTATAATCATATTAGCAGACTGATTCAGAAATACATGTCTTTCACAAATAGCACACAAAATTTAGTTTCTGATAACATAGTTCAGTGACTCATCTTCCACTTCACAAAACAAGGCTGAGTAATGAGACATAGCAAAATGTGATTACATAATAACAAGTGTATTTTTAATTACAAATCTAATTGTACATAAAGGACAACAAGCTGCAGTTTCTAATAAACAGATTTCTTAGTGTACCTTTTCATTCCCATGGTAAGAGCATCTATCATGTCAGACATCATTTTTAAGCTCCTGACTAGTATTACAGTTCCAGTTTGGTTCTGTTGAAAGGATAACAGCCTCTCCAGGGTGGTTTCCTTCCATCCTTAAAGCATTGTGTTCATTTTCATAGTTCTTAGCCTCTTGTAGGATTCTTTGTCTTTCATCTGGAGTATAGGAAGTGGCCAAGATGAATTGGACATGATAGGTCAAAATCTAGTGTCAAAGTTTGAAACCCACCTGAAACATACTGGATCTTCTGAAAGTCAGCCTAGCTGTTCTTTGCATTGTTGCATATCTGCAACTGAAAAAAGGACCTGGACTCAAGTAGTCCCCTCTGTTCCTGGGACCCCTCTGGGGGCAGGACAAGTTGTGAGTTAGAGTAATAAGAAGCACCATTTCAAATATATCCTGCAGGGCTTAAAGCTGTCTGAAGAACATGATGAGGGGGCTGAGGAATACTGGGTTTCCCTGGGGCAGTATGCTCTAATAGAGTTCTTCAGTCTCTTTAAGAGAATAGGACTGATTTACCGGGTTGTGGATTATAAGGATGGGTAGAGGAGACCCCTCAGTATATTTGTCTTCATTAAACAGACGGGAGAAACCCATATTGTCCTGAGAGGCAGGTGGAGATCCAAGGACAGAATCACCAAAGATATCCCTCTCTTCCTTAGGAGCCACTCTAAATACCATAGTTTCTGGGGTTTTCTGAGATAAAGGGTCACAAAAACATAAGGAATTTCATTCTACCTTCTGTGCTTTATGCAGAAATTATTTAGCTGAAAAGTAGCATCATAATTTAAATTGACATGCTGTACCCATCTCTTGCCATTCCTTAGTTCACAATGGACCCAAACTGTATTGCAATAATAGATAAGTCATTCCTTTTTCAAAATGACATGATTAAAATGTTCCCATGAATCAAGGATATTGCCTAGCAGTGAGGTAGATGAGATCTTCGAGATGCTGTTCAGGGCATTCCCCATGGCTCATACTGGGGCCTATATACAGAGAAATGACTAGGTCTCAGGTCCCTCAGATGGCATCCCATACAGAAGGAGGAGACCCAGTTGAGTTCACAAAGTGTCTCTTGTGAGACTCAAGTACTTACTAA